ATTTTACATATAATAAAACATTTAGAACAGTATCCAGGGACATAGTACATTCTGCTATTAATATTGTTATTATTATAATGTTTAGCATTATCACCATCATTATCATAAGGAGAATGAGCAAATTAGCAGAGACCGATGGAAAATAGTCTTAAATTTAATCTAGTCAGTCACCAACAGCCTTTGTTCTAGAGCCTTCCTTTCTCTAACCTACTCACTATTCTTAATATTCTTATTAATTTGTCTTGCTCTACACTGAATTGCTCCAGCCTTCATTCGTGCCCACCCACACCTATCCAGTGTATTTCTTCTCACCATCCATTATCAAGGCTTTTCCCTACAAAAAGTTAACATGGCATATTTCTTTCTTTTTTCTCATATAATTCTCAGCCTTTTTAGTCTTCTCTCTGCTTATCTTATACTTGTTCCAAGACTTACAACATGGAAGAACTACCACCTTTGCTCTGGGGCTTGTTCCAGTATAATTTCTTCAGGCTTGTCATCTTGGAACTTTGTAATATGTCACACTAAGAAGCATATTCCCTAGGGCAGTATTTTATAAAATGAAGGATATTATCTGATCACAATCCATGAAATGATTTTAGAGTATGACTGCATTTTTGGTGACAAAAACTTGAAGTATAGAATAGTATTAATAGAACAGGGGCTGGCCTGGTGGCGCACTGCTACAGTGCGCCGCTTGGGAGCGCTGCGGCGCTCCCGCCGAGGGTTCGGATCCCACATACAGACCGGTTCCCGCTCACTGGCTGAGCGAGGTGCAGGCACAACCCTTGGTGTTGCGATCCCGTTGCCGGTCCCGGTCCGGTACGGGTGCGACACTGAGGGTTGCAATCCGNAGTATTCATTTGTTGCTTATTCATTTTGCTTTCCTGAGGTCTCTAAAGTTCCCTTATTCTTTGTAGGATTTAGTTAAGAGCAACATTCAGTTAGACCTGGCAGTGTGTATCCAAGAGCAACCACAGCCACACAGATGAACAGAACCCAGGCTCTGACCCCTCACAGAGTCCCCACCATTTCTCTGAAGACAATATGGTACTGTCCGTGCAGGCAAAGAAGTATTCCTTGGGTGATGCTTTACTCTCTGCACTACTGTATTCTGTACAGCACATACACCTAGCCAGACTCAGGCCCTTCTCTCTTTAACAACTTTGAAAACCTGTGCTCACACTCCTGATCTAAACAACAATCTAATCTGCAGTTTCTATGTGTTCCTCAAAATTGTGCACATCTGGTGGTGAGCGCCTTGTCCAGGGATGTTCCCCTCTACAGTCTGAGCAGCTCTTTGGATTACATTTTCCAGCTCTGATCCTCATTTCTTCTAAACGAAGAAATGCTTTCCTAAAGCACTTAAGCTCTTTTGCTTTCCCAGTTTTTCTTTATTTCTCGAGAAAACAGTTTTATTAATGCTACTCCAAGTTCCAAGAAAGTCTTTACCCACTCGGCAATCAGAGCTTCATCCATAGCCACAGCCCAGTCACCATCATGGCAGGTCCTGATGTTAAACCATCTGGGTGGGGACAAAGCTCCATCTCCTATGGACTGCGTGACATTGCTCAAGTTACTCAACCTCCCTTTGCCTCCGTTTTTATTTCTATGAAACTGTAACAATAACAGTATCTACATTTCATGTTCTTTATATTTTACATATAATAAAACATTTAGAACAGTATCCAGGGACATAGTACATTCTGCTATTAATATTGTTATTATTATAATGTTTAGCATTATCACCATCATTATCATAAGGAGAA